ATATTGAATTAGTTTTTTTGCCTCTCTGCATGCTTTACATTTTTCTTTTATCACTAGCTGCTGTTTCTTATCTCTAAGCCCCTTTGCAATCCAATTTTAATTGCCCTTTCTCAATTACAATATATTACAGCTACCGACCTTGGAGATCCTTGGTGCTAATGCCAGGAGCTCTGGAGCTGAAAGCTTGTAGGGGGTTAATGACATTACAAATGTTTCTATTTTTGGCATTGGGTAGCCTCAGGCATCCACACAATAGTATTTCCTTGCCTCATTGACCCTAACAAGGGCAAATATAGTGGGGAGAGTTCTTAAGACCCTACTGCAGAGAGTAAGCGAAGGGAAGATGCAGCCCCTCTGAAAGAGGAAGTCACAGCTACTTTTATTCTTTTCTGTTGTTTGCATCTACTTTGTCACTGCTTAATGCATTTAAAATCAACCTTACAACACGAACTATAAACATTTATAAAAATTTGTACTATTGAAGCAACCAGAAGCCAAGAACCAGAAACAGGTAGACTGCCAATGAATCATAAATCAGATGTGTATACATAATTTTTAAAGCAGCTTATGGATCTGTACTGGATAAGGGAGGGGATGTTATATAACAAGAGCTATTCCTCTAGCAGCCTGCTGTAATCACATGCCTGTGGCTGTAAGAGAAAAGGTGCCAAAACAAGCCTGAGTCTTTCAGAGGCAGTGCTTACGTTTTTCTTTTCCCTTCTCTTGGAGCGACCACCACCCAGTTCATTAGGTGTCACTGCCTTCATATTGTTGCATACAGTTGCTCAATTGAGTAGGAGCATGGATTTTTGCAAGGTCCAGGGGCAGATCAGGAGGAAGTGGGGTGTAGTATACACTTGCATACCCCTTTTGATTCTTGCTTTACCCATACTGCCTACTGACTGGCAGTGGCAACGGCATTTCTATTCGGGCAGTGCTGAGAGAGTCAGCTGATTTCATGGCTCATTATAATCTACCCTATAACTGCTAATCTCTCTTCACTCCATGAGCCTCTCTCCTTTTTAATGGTCTTGAAGTTCTGCTATTCAAACCATCTTTTCTTCTGCAATTTTGCTATTTGTTACCCATTCCTGGTGATGTCTCTGTTCTATTTCCCAGCCCTGCAGATTGTTTTTAGCTCTAGCTAAAATCCTTAACTTGGGTGGGATAATATTAACCCCAGATGTAGAAATGGCTGACAGTGAAGTGTTGGAGGCACTGTCAAGACGCTCAAGAAGACCAGATTTTGTTTTACATATTTGAATAAGAAATGTATGTTTAACTATAAAGACTACAGGACTAATGAAACAATATCTTCTGACTATTTTTGCCTAATTTGTTGTGTGTAAATTTTATACATAATCTAGCTAGTTAGTGCACATTTCAATACATTTATATTTGTTTTTGCTTTGATCTTAAACTGAATAATGTAATATTAGACCCCTAGCATACTAATAAAACTCCTAGTTTCTGTTTAATTGGAGAAAAATGTGTTGTTCATATATGACAATGTGGTATACCATTTGCACCCCCCTTTTCAGAATCCTAGATCAGACTGTGTAGGTCCCTGGAAAAGCTAATTTCTAGCTTTCTGTTGGCACTAATTTCTGCTAACAATGAATTCAGTGATTCACAAATATAATTATATACAAGTCATCAGTGGACAGAAATACATTGTTATTAGTGTATTAGCAGTTTGCAAGCTGATTTAGAGAGAGATTGTCATTTGTATCTTTTGAATTGGACCAATATTAAAATATTTCTGTTTCTACAGGGAGTACCTTTTAAAATATTACCTTCCTTCTCTATTTCTAACTCGTGCATGCATGTTCACACACGACTGTAGATACACCAGTAGTTTCAGTACTTCTTTTTACCTTTTCATAATGTAGTAAAAGACCAATTAAGAATAATGCTAAAAAGTGTGTGAGATAGGGACTTTCTGACTTATTTCACGCACGTCTGTGTGATTTGTCACCATACAC